TTTATAAGCGTGTAATCCTGCGGATATTAGCTATAAAGATTCATTCATGATTGTTACTCCCCTCATTTCGCTACTGTCACCTCTTGCGGGTGATATACGCCCCTCATACGCATACGAATGTAACAGAAATAGACCGCATCGGATAGCGCCATCTGGTTACCCTTCAGTTAGCTGTTTCTTTGTTAGTAGTCAGCCTTAAGAAAATTTATTACCCAACCACCGAAAAAGGTTCATTATTCTTATGGCCCTTTCTGATAGGCAGAAGCTCAATATCGCAGGAGATGAATGGAAATAACACACTGTTCACCGACCTCAATTAGATTCCTGCTTATCGCCAAAATTGCGGTTAGCTCCACTTTTCAGCTGTCAATACATTCATGGTTACATTGAGTGCATCATGATTCGTATCCGGCGTAAATCCGAGCTCAGAAACACCTACTTCTTGTGTTTCCTTTCATATATGTCTATTTCTTGTCTCTAAATATTGAAAGCCCACTCTCATATGGCGGCTCCACAATTTACGCGCATGTTCCGTGAAAGGCATTGGACTATTTAGATTCTTTGCCTAAATACGTATACTTGTATCACTTCTCCATGAAAATCTTTGATGAAACGTACACTTTTAGTTATCACCAGCTAATTACGAGGTTGTGGTGGGGTTTACTTAACACTCAAGCAAAGCAAGCAAAAAAGAAAATACTGGTTGAATGGAAATCGAACTAATAGCTCCGAGCATTTCAGTCTAAACAGTCTTTTCAATAAAAAAAAAGAAAAAAAAAATCCTCCTATAGGAAAAAAAAAAATTCCTATAGTCTAATGCAGCCAAATAGTAACAGCGTTAATGGCCTATATTATGTAGGGGTATTAGTTGTAGTCAACATAGCTTTCTCACAATAGAGCCATCGCGTTGCTACAATTCCTAGACTTTTAGGTCATCAGCAAAGATGCATCTAGGTCAACATGTACTTTTTTAGATTATCAATTGAAGTAAATGCAACCGATTATTTTTGTTGTTCGAAAGCGTGTGCTTAAGAGATAATCCTGCTTATTGTTCCATTGATCCTATTCTTATTAGGGAACGTGTTCGCTTTGTGCAGAGAGTACTTGCTCCTAATCTTTTCTTCGGTTCACAACCCAAAGGTTTAATGCCATACATCCATGTCAGCATCCAGGAAGGATCTACCGCGCATAGCATCGCAGACGCTCGAACTGTACGTAACCTCAATAATAGTTGATTGAAAGTGAAATTAATTTAAAAAAAGAAAACTGCTAATAGAAGGTTTTCAAAAAACAATGATCGTTCAACGAACTAAAAAAACATCGTTGATATAACTTCGAATAGCATTCAAGATCACAAAAACACGCAAAGCCATCTTAATCCAACTTGTATATTACTGCATTATATATAGTTATTGAGTTAGCATACATGAATCTAGAAAAGGAATAGACCTTGAGTACGGACTATTGAGACCGTCATACGAAATCGACATTTATATATTGTTGTAGTTTCATTGAGAAATAACGGTGAACCGATAGTATCTACAAAGCGATCGACATCCTAAATTAAAATTGACCTTTTTGTGACAAAAAAGGAAAAACCCAAGGGACCTAACCCCCAGAAAGGCATATGAGCACACAAGAGACGTACGCCAGAATCCAAAGATCAAGCGAAGTTCAAAACAACGCTTGTGGCCTAATGTTACGAATCTGAAATTGTTTGGTCGTTGCTTCTATCCTGACAACCCGTCTACGTAAGTGATTACTACCGTTGAGTTTGTTATTCGCTAAACGCCAGTAGGCACCATAACTAATCATATGTGGGCCTTAAACCGTACTGGTCCTACATTCTGATCGGTGGGTTGTTCTGAATTTTAACTAGCTAGTAAATGGCAACCGTAGAAGTTATTTTGAGCCTTCATCGACAACTACCTACGGCCAATACATCAACGTTTCGATACGCGCTACACTGAAACGTTGCTATCTAGAAGATTTGTGCTACTTATTTTGTGCGCAATTGTTTTATGATCAAACGCTACTTTATGACGCATGCACCATATATGCATACATAAACATCTATGTATCACATACCAAATTCGTTGTCATTTTTGAGACCCTATGCCAAATCCAGCTATGTTACATGAAAGACCTAAACGGGCAAATACATTAGAGTTAAATAAGCAGAAGCTAGCATAGAGGGTCATTAGGTCAGTGATTTTTAGCGCTAGTTTTAAGCGCAATCATCGCCCTCTCCGCAATGAGCCACGTTCAAGCAGCTGCTGTACATCTTTACAATGCGAAAAACTAAAACATTTATATTATATAACTAAAATACTTGTATTATATTTAATAGTATACATCAGTGTGAACGAATGATGTCTAGGGGCCACGCCGCGGAAAGAAGGCCCTTCTTTTTTTTTTCTCCAAGTGTCTAAGTGGCAAGAACACGGGGTAGCTATTTACATATCCTGTGTATTTATCTGTAGCCAACAGTAGCAGGGTAAACGCGACCTTTGAAATGCGGAAGTCTGTATCAGCATCAAAGCGCGACCCTGACTTCGATCAGTCGCTGTTCTAAAATGCGCAGAACACAGACATAACTTCAAATGCGTTCTTCAGCATCACGACACCGACATTTGCGGCATAACGACGTTATGGCAGTGATCATCAACGTTTTTAACTCATAGCACGCAATCGTCGAGTAAGGAGCTGTATTCGTAATGATAGTCAATAGAAGAAAACTTAACCAAATGTTGCAAATTACGACCCCGCTACTCCCGTTCTAATCGTACCTGCCAATCAAAATAATGTCATCGAAAGGCGAAATACCACGTGATGTTATGTTTTGCTAGAAGTCTGCTACAGGGACAGTGTAGTGCTCTCTCAAGCCAAGACCTTCCTCACTCTTTTTGAAGCCATCGTCCGCTATGAGCTGCCCTTGACTAGCGATGGCCTGCCCTAGCTATGAGGTACGTATCGTGTGGCGGAATTTGCCCGTAGTCTGAGTATTCATTTTGAGAATAGCTCGACATGAAATGCTATGATGACACGGCGATGACCAGTCTCCAGCAGACTGTAAGCACACCACACCTCCACATTTGTATTATATGGGGCAACAGTTGTAGCGGTCCGAGAAGGACCAAGAGGAGTGGAGGACGGCTGATACTAGTGAGGGTGGCATTGCGTTGTCACACGGGGTGATTGGAGAGTGAGGGTAAGGTACTCGTTATCTGTTATAACAACAAAATAGTGTATTTCGTGACAATCTCGTGTTTAAGCATTTGTTGGTTTCGACGGGCCTTTCCTTAAGAGACTGCGATCTCCGTTCCATTTATGGCACTTGGTAAACCGTTATGTCATTAGACATTGATGCCTCGGTGACAGATTAAATACCGCGACCAAAAACTTCAATAGTAGATCATGAAGGTGATAGCTGTATGAGCGAAGATAATAACAGTCCCTTTCAGCTAATAAACCAGTTAAAACCCTCTTTTTCCAAATATGTATACGCACTATGAACTTTCTACAATGGTACAAATTATATGACTTATATTTTTATAAAGAAGTTAGTCGTACCGGCGATCACAACAACATCGATCACAGTTGCAGAAACGTTCTTAAGCTAGCACCCTGCAGATATCGTAAACCGCATCTTTTATATTCCAATTGTGTGGGATCAGTAAAAAAATTACGCAGCATACGATAACTATTGCTATGACGGTAGTGATGCTACTGGTGATTGCAAGACAGAAGCTTATGTACCGTGACAGGCTGTCCTGTCGCAAGCACCGTCCTCCACTGTGAGTACGGGAAATATCGGTTCTATTCTTTCGTTTACGATTGTTCTATTCATTTGCAAGCGCTAGGGATTCCATTGATATCGATGGAGAACTTTGAAAGTCTTGAAAATATTCTGTTAACACCAGTGTGATGTGGGAGCCAGTTGTGTTTACCGCAGATTAATTACACCTAACCTATTTGGTTCTGAGGGTTAGCTAAACCCTCTTGTGAATACCGGTCGTGCTCTGTTGGATTGAAAAGAATAGAATGCATCTCGCCTATGGTATCTATCATTTTAGAGTACAGCACTTTACTGTTTCTCGAAAGGCTACGATTTGCCGCGTTATCGCTTCGAAAATACGTGTACAAACGTGTGTACATTGTGTCTTGAGGCCGTTAAACTCATACCCCAAACTATGTTACAACGTAAACATTCAAAACGATCATCGTACGAAGCAAAGCTAAAGTTACAGCATTATACAAAAGTAGACGGTGTTTTCCGTTGATCGCGTGAGCCAACTTAATATTGCGCCGGTCGTCGATGAGGTTACACACTTAGGATCCACATTTACGTATAGTTATCGGATTTGGGCCTAATGCGAAGACAGGTCTATTCGTGCCAGCTTCCTGCATGAGGATCACGCTTTAGGAAGTTAATACTCGAAAAGTGTTTGCCTCTACTGCAATTCCATTATGCAATCTATGTTGTACGAAGCGAATGTGGGCTATAGGGCTGCCCATGTCCAGTTCAGAGTTCGGTAGAAACACTTACTGGAGAACAAGCCTAGAAAGGATACGATTTAATTGAACTATAATAGTTCCCTAAACAAACAAGCCGTCGTAGAATCAGGTTGTTTCTTATCGAAGTGAAGTTCTACATCTTATATTATAAAATTTAATAGCTATAAAATATCAAAATGTTTGGCTATTTTTGACAGAATTTTCTCATACTTAATAATTAATACATTATAAACAACAAGTATTTGCACTAGTGACGTTAGAGCTCATCAACCCAAGTCTTCAGTACTAAAACAGTGCGAGATTATTAACTTGCTTTCCATTTCAATGAGCTCCTAGCTAAATTCAACAGTTGTATATGACTGTTCGTATTTGACAATGTTTAAACAGGAAACTCATGAAAAGTACGTTCGCTATCGGCTTGGCACATGCTGCCCACCCACTCATCCATCTATCCTTTTCATCGTCTCATAATAAGGAACACCTTCTCAATGGGCGACTGAACTGAGTTCAAGGCATGTCTACGTCTACTGACGTCAGGGCGTAACTTGGCCACAGTTTCTACAAGTGCAGGCCACTTCAAACCGCGAGATGTTCCCTTTCTATTTCACTGCCGGATTAATAGAGGAGCTGCCTCTATTGTCGATGTAGCTTAGTAAAAAGGACGTAATGAAGTTAGCAAGTCACGTTGCCACCTTAACTATCGTCATTAATCATTGTATCCGCTCATGTTACCCAAATCCGTTGAATTAACGAGTGCCACAGACACTTACGGCTTTAAGAGAGCGATAGAAAGGCCTAACCATTTTATCTGGGCCCATCGATCGCGTCGAGCTACCGTTTAGATAGAGACAAACATACAGCGCAAGACGAGAGACTTGATCTGCGCTTATCTTACCATCACCGTCAAGCTGGGGTTATTTACCTTTCGCATCTACAATGTATTTACTGCACAGATGCCGTTTACCAGCCAGTAAAACCAACACTACATTGGACGTTCTACCCCACACTACAACATAGCGTACTGCAGCACTGTCGTCTTAGTCGCACCGATATAACCTTCTCGCCTACGAACTACAACGCACTCCTTTCTGTCTGCTCTGTCTGTATGGATATATATATATACATATATATACATACATATACATATATGTACATATACATATATATGTTGTTTCTGATGCCACTAGGCGCGCGAACCCACACGTATCGTAGTATCATTGCTACTCATCGTTTGATCCCACCACCGCCCGTCCGCAGCCGAAATACGTTTCAGTTTCATTCTGTTCCTTTTGGATTCTACTGGCTGTAGTTCATAAAACAAAATAACCGTCTATCTTTGCGTGATCCGCTGCAACAGAAGGTACCGCTGAACATCTGCAGACTGACAGCGTCTAAAGCTTTTAAGAAGACTTGCTGGGAACGCTCTATGCCTTGCGTGCCCCGTCTCCTCGTAGGTAATATTTTAATGAGTCGTGAAATTTGTGTACGCTTTATAATGCAGAACAGATCCAGTGAATGCGTGAAAAACAAGCATATAAGACGAAAATATCGATACGATCAACTCCTTGATTTTGTTCGAAAAGCTAAAATTAGTGGTTGTGCTATGTGTTGCTGTATCTTCAACTTTATTTGTGAAAACTTTGAGCTTATATAAAAGGTTTTTCGACTGACGACCATTTTCAGGGCATCGCGCGGACGTTTGGGAAGCGATTCCATCACTTCCTGAAACAGAGCAACTTCGGTGTCAAACTTCATTGGGGCCTTCGCAAAACTATCATTGAAGATCTCCCCCAGGAAGACCTGCACAATGGGCGGTGGAGCAATGTGGTTTGTGGTGTGCATACCAAAAGAAGACAACGAGAAAGGTACGTATTAGCTTGAACTCACTGGCACACAGAAATAGGCTTCGTATTTGAATAACACGAGAGCAATTATTATGAAATCAAAACAAACTAGCCAGCTTTGTGGCACGAAGAGTGCCACTTTGTAATTTCACAGTTAGTCATTTATTAAATTACAGCATTTCTATTTTTTAGACTACTTGATCGAAGGCTAAATAAATAGACCTTTACTATTTTTCTATTTGTCACATATATTCTATGGGTTGAATTATCAGCTGCCATAACATAACTCTAAATAGCTTAATATAAATATAGTCACTATTGATGTTTATCATTTCAATGTGCCTCAAACACCATTACGGCCCAGTTTCGGGTCAGGGGTTCTCCATAAGTTCCATTTGCATCTGTTAGGATCTTCACGTCCTAGACACATCGTTTCTACGGCACTGAGTAACTACAGATCAACGTAAAAAGAAACGTTTGCACAGCATAGAATGTTTTGGAACTTCTCTTACATAATGGAACAATTAGAACGGCCAAATTCAACAATACACAGAGAATATATATATATATATATGCTATTATTTTATTTTTATTTTTATTTATTTTTTTTTTATTTATATTTATATTTATTTATTTATTTATATTTTTACCTTATGCTCTATTCTATAGCGCGCTGTTTGCGATGCATGTTGCCGGTTAGGTGTACAGCAGTGTTTTTTTTTTTTAACTTTAAGTTAATCTATAATAAATTTCTAACACGAACTAGTTAGGAACAAGTGTGCTGCACCTTGCAAACAAAAGCAGGAATCCTTTATCAAAAAAGGCTTTCGTACAATGCTTTGACGTGTCCGTTGACAAAACGCGCGTGTCCGTTTGCAGGCTGGCAGCTGTTTTTATGGTCTTGCTGCAATTCATAATTACTAAACTACAATACAAGAGCGAACGAGAAATAAAACGTTTAGATATCTCAGAAGGTTACCTGAGAAGACGATGGGCAATCGTAGAACGCGTAACGTCGGCATCATCAAATACAGCTCTTTAAGACGTTTACTAATATTTTAAAGCGAATTCCATACATGATAAAAATAAAAAAGCGGCTTGGGGCATAGCTTGTTTGATTTTTCAGGTTAGTTCTACGAAAATCTTTTCGGCCGCAAAAAAATTGAAATACGCCCTATACTACCGTTAGGCGTCACGCTGTTGTTGAATTTGTGCTTTTTGTTATCAGTAGACAAGTTGATTTCAAAAAGAATTAGCTTTATCGCTAAGTGTCAGATAAACTGAAGACGCTTTATTTCTACGATATAAACAGTTTTAGTCAAGCGGCAACTTTACAATGATTTTTTGCTCGAAAGACAAATACAAGTTAGAGAAGGTTCATGCCACGTTTTCACGACTGATAAGACGGACCTCAATCATTCATCACTATTTTCCGCTAGACTTGAACAGGATGGATTAGAAAATCGAAAGGGTTGCAAAATCTTCCCTGAAGCTCTCCTATCAATACGTAAGATTTGCGCGAGTCCGCTGGCAAACGAGACGAAGACCCAGCATCGTCGGCCATTGGGCGCAGTGGTCCAATAAAAGGCGAATTAGAATTGGGAAGATGAATCGAGGAGGCTACTTACCCAGTTCTTCGTACCGCAGCTGGTTCTATATTGGCCCTCCTTCTCTGTGTTTTGAAAGTACTTCGTTACAAAATCTGCTGTTCACTCGGTTCCAGTATTAAACAACAGTTTTAATCTCCAATGAGTAGATCAAACTGTGCAGTATTCAACATACTGTGTTGTATAATCTTTTCTAGTCCTAGGATATATATATATATATATAAGCATTAGACATCGGGGCTGACGCTAAAACGCGACTTTGAATTATTCAAAGCTAAATTTTTCTAATTAGGGAGACTTTGAAGATTGCTCAGATTGCACACTATACTTCAAGCCACTTTGATAAGAAAGTAATGAACTTCACAGTTACTGTTGTTACGCCGCTAATTATGCTGCATTATATATTGTGGTAAATAGACATCTTTCACTGTCGGTATATATGTGATTATTTTTCTTTTTGAACCTGCGACCTCTCGACATTTAATGGGCATTGGAACATTTGTTTAACTTTTAACCCTCGTTTTTAACAGCTCAAATTCCTTCTCCGTTCAAAACATTTCTGGTGAACTTCAGTATGCGGGTGTTTTCGAACGTACTAGCCTGATTAAAACAAAACTTTCTAGACGTCTTCAAGCAGACGACAGCGTCACATTTAGAAACATGATTTTAATAGGTGTGTCTAACGTCGACGTACACTTCGTAAATCTTATTGGAATCGATCTAGAATCCTGTGGACAAAAACTCGGAAATCTCGCAGAGTTCAGGAAATGTTACGTTCTCAAAATAACCTCACAATCTATGTTTCCTGTGTACCCTGACAACAGAAAAAGAGTTATTAATATTATTACGTATTGCAAATTGGTCGAACACTCAACCCGGCCGAGGGCCATTTCGTTCGGTGAACAATGCGCCCCCTATAAGCCCCAAGTAATAAGCCGCTGCAAAAGACGTATTGTAATGTGAATTTTCTGTGCGGACTATAGTAGACCCTTTCGGGTCTGCATGCTCTGGTTAGAATCACTGTGAATGACTTTCGCAAAGCTGACTCGGCCTTACAGGGTTATTACTAATAAAACACACGCTTTGCCACATCTGTTTGTACCCTCAAGCTCCGCGATGTGCCGTAACGCTGTCTTCGGACTGAACGTAAGCGTGATGACATAGGGTATACGACATCGATCCTATACTTATACATATATAGATTACCTGGAAACACATATGCACATGATGGTAGAGACCGTTGCAGAGGGTTCAATTGCCCCTAGACTACGATGCCTGGAAAACATTTAACACAACTATCATCAGCTGGTAATAGTTGAGGTCGACGTGGATCGTTCGGTGCCTGCTTAAATACGTATCCACTGCGCTCTGATACAAACTGTGATTGATTTACAATCTTGCATTAATTAGTATATAATTGTTTCCGAGTGAGAGAGGGAGCTAAGGACGACTAAATAATGAGATCGTATTAGAAAGCCATGCAAGAAGATTGCGTACCTCGCAAAGTGATCACAATGTCGCTATATCTAGAATATGCTTGATCAAATAAATAGGGCTAGAAGTACGCCTTATCAGTTCCACTACTAAAAAAAATTGTTTTCGGTCTATTTTTGGCGCGTCACGGCATCTTTCAAATATCATTTTTGCGTATCACCAATGTGTATAGCCAGTACGCGTTTGTAAATTGATGGTTCTATAACAAACTTCCATGTTATTTTTTACGGCATTTATATGCCTTTTTACCTTCTATAGATCCAAGTCGTGATTCTGATATGAAAACTTCACACGTCATTAGCATGGTGTATTTGTTTATGTCCCATAGTAACCGATTTTCCTATCTGAATCGCCGAACATAAATTGAGCTTATAGTAATATTGTCTGTATGAATCAAACATAACGGTGCCGATAAGCTGATACGGCTAAATGGTGATCTGTCTGTTTTACCTATGGAATATGCTGGGCGACGATGAAGGATCGGGTCCGGATCACTTTATCCAGCCATTCGTGCGGTTCTTTTACCACTACGAATGGTAATATTAGTCAGCAGCCATCACGCACCCGTATGATAATATTATGCTATTAGCCGCTACCTAATTTTTCCCTAAACTTCAAGCCAGGAGGGTCATGTATGTTCATGAATTCATATCGTCGGACACAAGTTATGCTGCACTGTCAGTTCGCTCAGCGGCACCAGCTTACCGTATTATAATATTGTTGATCGCAGGCGATAGAAATTATAGTAGGTTTGAGCAAAAAGGGTTAGGTTAGGTAGTCATATTTTTCGAATGCATTTTTCATTTGCCACGAAAAACGTTAGTTTCTTTTTTAAAATTTACTTGCACACTACAACAATGGTCCTAGGGCAGACTCCAGTGGTAATTGTATGTAAAGGGATGATCAGTTTACTTTAAGACCTGCAGATTTAGTAGTTACTGGCACTTAGCTATTCCAGAATGTTCTCAGTTGTAATAGGCGTCATCTGGTCTATAATTTTACCCTAGAGCTTATATTTGCGGTACATAGGCCGTAGTTAAGCGCTTGAGTTAACGAACTATCCACGAGGATCAAGCTGATAAATCTCAATAGGATCAATCGACAGTCTACATCGTACACCCTCATTTTGCGTATCTGAGTTTTCGTGTGCTAAAACGTATTTTGTTTTTAATGGTTCTTGACTTAGAATTATCTTGCACTAGTAACACAATTCAAAAAATAAAGTCTTTCATTGTAAACATGAATGTTTGCTATCTAAAGAGTGAGGTTTCATCAGTCTGTAAGTGTTGATACGTAATCATTCGGAATGCATCTGAAGCTTCCGTAAAGGTCAGTTCCCCAGAATTGGTCGTGGAAGCTTTTTGCTAAACATGATTCTTCCTCGGAAAGCTGAATGGCTCCTGCCAAAAATGCTAATGTTACATTAGCACCCACGACGCCCCTATTTGTCGCCTGATATAGTGTGGTGCAATAACAAATGTAAGATAATTACTTGTTTTTGAAAGAGGTGGATTCAGAGACGCGTAAAAATGGACAAACGTAAAGAAGACGAGTGGCAGAGAAGGACGCAATCCCGTATGATAACAAGTAGCGTGTAATATAGCGTCGTTTTATATTGAATTTTCTAACATGCCAAGGAATATATCGACCCCACTTCGTCGTAGACATACTGTCATCTACCATTACATGAAATATATAAAGTCGAAAAACTACGTGATACATTTTCTAATTTGTAATAAATACATAACACGTAGAGGAATTTCCGGTACGTCTTATATATAT